AATATAATGAGAATTAATGAAATCTGAATATGATATTTTTAAAGTATCAAAGTCTCAGTGGTTCATGTAGATTGTCTACAAACCGGAAGGTTGGTGGTTCAATCCCCCTGACCAAGTGTCGAGGTGTCCATGAGCAAGACACCTAACCCCAGCTGCTCCCGACGAGCTGGATGGCGCCTTGCATGGCTGACACCGCTGTCGGGGTATGAATGAGTGAGTGAATGGGTGAATGTGAGGCAATATGTAAAGCGCTTTGGTGGCCATTGGGTCTGTGAAAGCGCTATATAAATGCAGTCCATTTACCATTTATCTCACAGTTATCATATTATGGTTTTATGGAATTCCATACATTGTAATTTCATGGAAAATAAAGGTCTGCACATTTTTCAGAAAGAAAGTTATACAGGTCTGGAACAATATGAGGGTGAGTGTGGATTTTCATTTTTGAGTGAACTATTCTTTTAATACTCAAACTGTCTGCCGAGTGATGACCTGTCAGCTGGAGATTTATCAACTATTAATTCACCACTCATGGGAATGACCCACTGATACATCCACAAGGCACTATCAAATGTGCCATAAAACCCAACACCAACCTATTTAGCAATGCCATGGGTTCTCAGATTAAAATTACTGGAGGAGAAAAATAAGATTATAGATTAGTATCTAATAGTTTTTAGATTTCAGTCATCGTTGTAGTACACTTCTGGGCAGTTTTTTAAACAGAAAACCCTATGGTCTAAAAAAACTCAGCCAGTAATATTGAGTCCATGTTTTCAGAACTGTAGAGGAGTGAATCATTGCTCATGTTCAGCCTTGAAAAGGACTGATCATGTAAAAAAAAAGTACTCAAAGTCAAGCTTTATGGTTGAACTACTCAGCCACGTTCCCCTATTCTCTGGCGTGTGATTAGAACGTTCACTGTGGACCTCTGCCTTTTTTGTTCACACAGCACGACTGCTGCTGCCTCTTTTGTTACAGGTGCTTTTCCGCTCGACTGGTCTCGTTTCTCTCTCGTGGACTGAGAACGACAGTGACATGCCCCAACCTATAACGAATGCACGGGAGATGTTTCTGCCAGACGCCTCTCTCCTCGTTTCCTTCCTTGGTTTTTAAATCAATATTTGAGTGGGAGGTGTGCCCGCGTTCTCTGCCACATATCTCTAGAGAGCAGGAGGCGCTCTGGCCGGTGGTCTTGGTTTGGGTTTTAAAGGAAGGGATCAGGCAGAGCAGGGCACAGACACTAAATCAATGGCCTTATCCAAACCCCTCGCTCCGCATGAGGAGAAAACGGAATTTCTATCAGGAGATTATATTTGTTCACGAGCTTCTGACCCGTTGGCCCCTTTTCCCCCCTCTATCTTCCATCCAGCTCAGAAGTGGAAATAACGTATAGCCAGGCTCAAGTTTTCAATGTCTTTAATTCTCTCACTGTTGCCTGCTATCCAGTCTCTTTCGGGCCACACTTCCTCCTTTTTCACCTCGATTCCAGAGATGGATTATTACGTTGACATACCCAGGACATGAATGTCTTAGGGGCCCTTCACAGAGGATGCATTCTAGCATTAAAAACGGTTAGACAGAGCATAACAGAAGTGAACTGAAAGCGCGTTTATGGGCGCATGAAATCCTATACAGTGAAAACCCCACCCCCAGATTGCTTTGATTGGTCAATGGTTTAAAATGGACATTGATTCAATGTGCAGCATATCAAACTTTTTTAACTTGCCAAAGCATCTTAAAAACTTGCCATTGCTCTGTTATTTGGCATAAAACAATAATATGTTTTAAACATAAGAAAGTGTAGCAGTGTTGGGCAAAATTCAGAACTGAAGAATTGTCTCCCTTTTAATTCATGAATGTGAATATGAACTGAACTGGCCACATCCCACAGGAAGTAGAATTTGATTTTGGAATGGAATGACAGAAAGAGGAACCAACTGACCGTTCGCAAAGACCCGCCCCCTTTAGTTACTGTTGCTATGTCCGACAAGCCACTCCACTCTCACACCACACACCATGTTCTCACACAGTGAAAAATACATCGCGGAGCAGAGAGGACACTGACAGACAAGACAGACCAGGTTACTTTTGATATGAAACAAAGTCTCACCTTTTAAATTTGGTCATTTTTTTAAAAGAAATTTAAACAATAAATACCGTTTTGTGGCTCTTTAATGTGTCGTGACAGATCGCTGTAGAGTCTCTTAAAGGGACACTATGCAGCTTTTTTAGCTTAACTGAACAGCTTCAGAGTTATTGAAATGGTTATATAACTTCTTTCGGGTTGAATGGTGGGCGTCTCGACCCCCCCTGGTGCCTGTGAGCGCAAAAATCTCACTTGCAACTTCGGTGCGGCGGGCCGCGTCAGGAAGTATCGCGTGATATCAGCTCTCGCGATGTAACATATTCCTTTACGGCAACTCACACATACACACAGGAACAAGGTATAGATGGATGGAGTTTGTCATTGTCACACTATCGTCATGGCTGAGCCGGCATATAAGATGCAGAAAGCTAGGAAAGCATTGTCGGAGGAACAGAGAAAGAGGAAACGGCAGACTGACCGAGCTAGGAGTCGGACACGAGCATAGGCATAATTTGCGGGTGTTATGTCCCCATTGAAACTTCTCGCGGCACGGATGTAACGTTACCATTACAAACAAATAAAACATCTCCAGGTAACTCTAGTAGAGCATTCATTTCGTTCGTTTGTTAAATAAGAGGCGATCTGAAATGTGTTATTTTTGAAATCAACTGACCAAAGTGCTCGTTGCCTCTGCGATCAGTGGTGCAGATAAGTTACAGTGTTCTCTTGTGACGCGCGCCTGAATCCGTTGCGGGGACTGAGAGACTCTCTATATTTTGTTATGGTGAAATCACAAAATCTAATGCACAAAAAACATGTCCCTGCTTGAAATACAACCACTAATAAACAATCAGTTTTGATGAGGAAAATAAACTATACTACTACCGATTAGAACCCAGAACCTCTGACACACTTGGCAAAAGTTCTGCCTCTGGACCATTAAAATTGTCGGATCTATGTATTTAATCACGTGAAAATTCTCACCACTAACAACATATATTATATCTCATTAAACGACAAATTAAACACAATGTACTATTGTATAGCCTATGTAACAGGCCATGTCACGCTCTGAGTGAGTGGTATTTACGACAGTAACGTTAAATTCAAGTACTCCACAGTAACTCTAGGGGTCGCTGTTTGACAAAAACGGGATTTCTGCATAATGCCCCTTTAAGGCGCGATTCACATATAGCACCTACAACCGCAAAAGACGCGATATGTGACCAGGCCCTAAAGCTGCTCGTGAACCGATCATCTCTTCCTTCTTGTTCATTTATAGCATCAAATAAACATGAATGAACATAAGAAGTAATGTTGTTTTAACCGCAGAAAGACATCAGTACACACCGTTTTTCAAGTTTAAATTCTCCAACGTTAATCTACTAACTCTCCTGACTGCTTTGTCGACACAAATGGCGGATTCGGCGGATGGCGGACTATGATTGGTCAGATCGCCTGTCAGTGAAACTCCCTGTGAAGGGTCAATTGTCAATTAAAAGAAATTCAACAGAGGTAATGCATTCTGGGAAGTATGTCTGTCTGTCTGTCTAGCCTATAAACCTAACCTTAAAACTTCAAGGCTTTTTAAACTTGAAAACTTTCAAAGAAGGCTTTGTCAGCCAAAACTTTGCCAAAATTTGTCATTTTACTTGTCTAGTTAAGAATTACAGTCATATATGATAATTTTTTTTTTAATTTTCAGTTTATTTTAATTATATTTCTGTTTAAATTTGAATTGCATTTCTGCATCCTGTTTGCTACGTCAATTCAAATTCAATTCAATGTTTGGAATTGAGACAAAGGGTGCGTCTCATTCAATGCCCTAGCTTCCTAGGTCGTCAACCAGTACATTGTGTACATAAATCCGGGTACTGGTAAGGACAGTAAGGACCAACAACCTTTCAGCCGTAAGCAAACTATAAATGTTAGCTAGCTAATGTTCATTACCTGTGTAGCAATGTATGCGTATGCTGACATATAATTCAATAATGGTTTGTATTTTTTTTAAAATAAAATAATGCATGTCATTAGGTGTAGTGAGTTGGCTTGCGTGATTTAGGTTTCATACTTTAGAACTTCCAATAAGGAAATATAGTGACCATCAATGCTCCCTGGATATCACTTGCATTGTGAGACTTTTTAAGGAGCGAACGTTTCAGTGCACTGGATGGATTTTGCAATTGAGACAGCCTTTAAAATGGCTGAATCCCTGATCAATGCCCTGACAACTGAACTAGGGAGCTGACTGAGACACCTAAAGTCATTCTGAATTAAATTCTGAATGTCTCACAACCCTGTAGTCCAGTAAATATGAACTGTTTCTTTAACCCTTCAGGGCCCCCTGTTGGTCTGGAGCTCTGGGCAAATGTTAGACATGCTTGTGCATTGGTCCATTCTTTCACATAGTGTTTCCTTTTCTTCCCTTTTATTTGTGCAGTCATAACTATTGCCCTCTATAAACCCAATTTATGCAGTCTTGATTTCCATCTGCTCTATTAATGCATTCAGTACAGAAAACCTCTCATTGTGCTGTATACCTTTCCTCCGTTTGATTTGCTGTCTCTGTACACAACGTTTAATCCTTTGATTCTCCTCCGGGGCGGCAGATTGACTCCTGCCTGGAGCCTAAAGCCTCCCTGACATCATCCGAGCTCTGCAGTCATGACACACAGTCCCTCACTGCACAATGTTGTTCCTCTGTCACACAGTCATTAATATTGATTTACTTAATTGGTTGAGCCTTATCCGTCCAATAGGGCTGTAAAACTAACCCAGCCTGGAGAGCATTGCATCTTGGGATAGTTGATGAATCATTTTGAATCGTCTTCTGCGGTTTGTAAAGCATGATTACCTGTCTCTTCACCCCTCTCGCTCTCTCTCTCACTATCCCCTTCTCCCTTTCTTTCAGACATTCCACACAGCAGCAAACCAATAAAGTCATAACGAGCACAAGCCAGCTTGTTAAACAACTCACTGACATCATCAGCGGATCTTCACGGGTAAAAGTCATGCTTCTTTGGCTTTTATAAATCTCTAATGTTTCTTTCGTTACTGGAACAATATTCCTTTTATAATGTATATCCAGTGATATAGGTTTCATCTGAACATGGTAGAGAGACATTCCACTGGCATGTGCAATGACAAAAAATAATGTTATAAAATTCAAAGTTATTAAGTGTCCATTTAAAAAAATTATGCCATTTTGTTTTCCTGCAGCAAGACAGGCTCCGTCTGACGAGACTCAAAACAGAGCTATCAGATTCTGTGCAGCGATATGGAGACCTGCAGAAGGTACACATTAAATATTGGTCTTCCTTTATTTGTCCACAAAATAACATATGCGATTAAGGCCCTGTTTACACGAGAACGTAAAAATATTTTATCGGATGTGCCTTTCGTCTACACGTCGACGGCATTTTTTTGGGGCTTAAAAACGCAAAAAAGTGAAACCACCCTCCAGAGTGGAAGTCTTAAAAACGCTCCACCGTCGCGTTCCCGTCTAAAGGGTAAAAACGCAAAAGTCTGCTAGACAGTGAAGGTTGTACGCAGGCACACAGACTTGGTGTTGTTGTGTGGCAGTGCTTTACATTGCCACCTAGCCGCCTGGAGTGCATACTACATCGAATTTCACACACTTTTGCGTCACCATATGCACGCGGATTTCCCCACCCATAACGCTCGTCTAAATGCAAAATAAAAAGTGATGACGCAACGCCACTTTTGCGTTTTCTCTTCAGATCGTTTCCGTGTAAACATAGCCTAAGACTGAGAGCTTCTACAACCAATGTCAGCCTTGGGGAATATTTGTAGCATTTTATTTTTTACAATTTCAATCATTTGAGAAACATTATATGTGCCAAATATGTCATTAATAGATCATAATATCAAATTTAGTAGTTAAAATTGCCCCCATTATAATAATTGTGACATTTGCCTGAAGTCTTTTCAAGTTGTTTTTTACTAAATATATATTTATTTACTGACAAGTAAGGAGTAAATACAAACTAGATGTTCATTATTTTGAATTATTAGATAATAACATATTTAAAATTATTAGTCACACAATTATTTCTATGGCATCTAACTAGATACTTTCTAACGCAGTTTTCCCCATCCTGGCAGTCATTCAAGATAAAAAAAATGATTATTTTAGCTTCCAGTGACAGTAAGCATCTGTGAAATATTATTTAGCATTTAACGGCATTATAATTTTAGACAAAAATACCATACCCAAAAATAGGTTTTATATATATTTTTCCTCTCACAAACTTAAACAATTTCTTTCTTTTCCCCAGGGAGTGTTGAGCGTGCTGAATAAGTGTCTTTACTTTAGCTTGTTTGTAATCAAATACATTTTGTGTTACAATAGTTCCCAGCTATTGTGTTACAATAGTTCCCAGCTATTGTGTTACAATAGCTCAGCTGCTGTCACATGTCTGGCACTATTTGCATATTAATGTAATTTTTTTTCTTTTCTCTGACAGAAAATTGCAGATCGTTCGAGGGCCTTGCTTCCTTCTGCACAAAAGGACAGGAAACAGGTGAGTAGGCTTTAATATCTCAGAGTCCAGAGAGAGTCCACTTCTTCCTCTTTGTTCTTTCATGAGCTCTTCGACATCCCTGTGACAGTAAGATAAAGAGTGAGACTGCGTGTGTGATTGCATGTGAATGAGGAGCTCTTTGATGCCCTTTTTTTCACCACTTCATTTTCTAGCAGGTCAGATATTAACTGTCAGAATTTCCTGACACATACAAACCTCAGCCCTCATTTTAAGTTTGTTTGGAACCACTACGTGGTTTGTGCTACAGAATGTGCTGCCCTGTCGATCAAGAGGTTGAAAGATCTGGCCTAGAAGGAATATAGGTGCATACTTCCTTTGTCATTTAGCAAGACATTTAAAGTCATACTTTACCCAAAAAGTAAAATTCTGACATCATTCTGACAGCTCAATAGTGTTCCTATTCACTTTTATCTAATGAAAAATAATGGCTGTAGATTATCTGATTTTTTTCATGTTCCACACAAGAAAGAAATATTTGTAGCAACATGGGGGAGAGTAAATGATGATAGAATTGTCTTTTTTGGGTGAACTATTCCTTTAACCCCAGTTTTTCCCAGGTGATATCTTAAATTTGGTTCCACTGTGAGAACAAAAAGAAAAGAAACAAGATGTCTAAAAGAAACATATGCCAGTTCTAGTGATGTTCACTCTCATTGGAAGAGTTTCATTTGATGAAACACACTAAAGCTGACATCTTCATTGCCACACTTTTTCCAGATCCCATCAAACTTCAATTTTCAGTTCATCTGAGGTGGCCCAAGGATGTACTGATGATTGAAAGTGTTGACTGAATGGTAGGAATTGCATTCAATATTACCTGCAGTACAACAGCAGCTCAGATTGGCTCAGCTGGTATGTGACTATATAGCACATACATAAACACTACTGTCTTACAGTCTCAAGTCTGCTCAAATCCACTCCTATTCTATTCCCTCCCCTCCTGTCGTTCTCTAGAGATGTTGCTTTTATGTGAGACTCTGTCACCTGTAGCTATGTCTCTTATCTTCCTGTCTTCTTGCACAATCCCCCCTGGAAACACACGACCAGAGCAATCAAACAGGATGTGTAGTTCCAATATGAACGCCAAGAACACATTCAAAACAAACAACATTCGGAGTTGTTAGTCAAGAGTAAGATGTTATTAAGGAGTTGTTTGATCGCCAGGTTCTGCCAGAGTTCAAACGAGAACAGGGTTTGTTATCAGCACTGCCAATCTGTACTATAATTCATGAACATGACTCACTATTATGAATGTAAAAATCACAGCAGTGTATGTTTTTATATATCATTTAAACATTTCATTTAAACATATAAATCGTCATGAGTCATTAGTACTCATGACAATGTATATGTTTAAATGAATTTCTTAATCTCAAGTGTAATTTGTAAAGGACTCCCATTGTGTTGAATAATAAGAATAGCAATGCACTGGTTGTTATGGGAGTCTGTTTCTGCCTTGTAGATTAAAGATATATCTTGCAATTGGAATTATTCCTCAGATTCAAATGAATTTTTTTTTTCTCACAGTGTCACTTTGTATCTTGCAATTGGAACAATTTCTTAAATGTTATTATAATTTTCACTTAATTTTATTTATTTTCTAAGATTTCTTTGTGATGGTGACTTCATATATTGCAGTTGTGACTTTTATTTCTGTTGTTAAACTTTATCTCACAATTACCTAAAGGGAAGAACCAGGCTTGATTGAGTACTAGGACAAAACAGAAAAGTTGGATGTCTGAAGGAATTATTTTGCATTTATCTCCTGTTAAAATTGGTTCAAGGTTATTTATTTGGGTAATTTATTCATTATGGTTGCTTGCAACCTCTTGCTTTTTCTATTTTCACACTTTCATTGCATCCATCAGTATGGTCAGCAAAAATAATGGGAAAGTCTGTAACATCATCCAGATTTTATGCTATAATTTAGATCTGAATGTGCTGATGCAAGGCTATAGAGTTCCCAGCTCTTTATATACAGTTGTAATCGAAATTATTCAACCTCCATTGCAAATCAGGTTTATTAACAAAATGTACAGACTTTCAGCTGTTTGTAAAATAACAAATAAAACAAAAGTAATTGAAATAGGTTTCCCCTAATTCAACTGAAAATGCAACTTTGAATGACTTTTGCAGTCTCAAAATTATTCAACCCCTTAATGGCAAGCATCTTTAGTACTTAGTAGAACACCCTTTTTGCTGTTATGACCTGCTGAAAACAAGATTTATAACCAGACACCAGCTTCTGGCAGCGTTTCTGAGGAATCTTAGCCCATTCCTCATGAGCAATGGCCTCCAGTTCAGTAATATTCTTAGGTTTGCGTGCTGCAACCGCCGCCTTCAAATCCCACCAGAGATGTTCTTTGGGGTTCAAGTCAGGTGACTGTGATGGCGACTGTAGAATCTTCCAGGACTTCTTCTGCAACCAAGCCTTGGTGGAATTTGAGGTATGCTTTGGATCATTGTCCTTTTGGAAGGTCCTTCCTCACTGACTGCATGATGTTTTCTCTTAGGTTTTCCTGATACTTCAATGAATCCATCTTGCCTTTAACACACTGTAGGTTTCCAGTGCCAGAGGATGCAAAGCACCCCCAGAGCATCACCGAGCCACCACCATACTTAAAGGGATACTCCACCGTTTTTTCATATTTCATATTATGTTATTCCCTTAACTAAGACGAGTTGATACATACCTCTCTCGTCTCAGTGCGTGCACTAAATCACTCTGTCTTGCGGCGAAACTTTGATAGCACTTTGGGGCGGCAGTGGCTCAGTGGTTCATGTAGGTTGTCTACAAACCGAAAGTGTTGAGGTGTCCATGAGCAAGACACCTAGGTGTCCATGAGCAAGACACCTAACCCCGACGAGCTGCTCCTTGCATGGCTGACACCGCCGTCGGGGTATGAATGAGTGAGTGAATGTGTGAATGTGAGGCAATATGTAAAGCGCTTTGGTGGCCATTGGGTCTGTGAAAGCGCTATATAAATGCAGTCCATTTACCATTTACTTAGCTTAGCCCAGTTCGGATCCAAGCAGAGGAAAACGTGGAGGTGTTTGGTCGCTTCTCTGCTTGGATCCTAATGAATGAACTGGGCTAAGCTAAGTGCTATCAATGTTTTGCCGCAAGACAGCGATTTAGTGCACGCACTGAGACGAGGGAGGTATGTATCAACTCGTCTTACTTAAGGGAATAACATAGTTTAATATGAAAAAAAACGGTGGAGTATCCCTTTAACTATAGACAGAGTGTTCTTTTCAGCATATGCTTCATTCTTCTTCCTCCAGACATACCACTGATCCATAGGGCCAAAAAGTTCCAGTTTTGTTTCATCGCTCCACAGAACAGACTCCCAAAACTTCAGTGGCTCATTTATATGATTTTGAGCACTTTTCTTGTGCTTTTGTGTTAGTAGTGTTGTACAATACGTCTTGGAGTTCTGACAAGTGTTTAGTACGCACCTTACTGTGCAAGCTGAAACCTCTGTGCCTGTTGCCACCAAGTCTTGCTGCAGGTCTTTTGCAGTCACTCAAGGTTTTTCTGAACCTGCCTTCTCAGAAATCTGGTTGCAGCCGTTGATAGCTTCCTTTTTCTGCCCTGTCCAGGTAGTTTAACCATGCACTGTTCCTCTAACTTTGAACTTGCGAACTATGCTTCCAACGGTATCTCTATTCTTGTATGCTATTCCTTATTTGTGAAGGGCGATGATACCTTCTCTTAACTTTTTGGACCATTCTTTTGACATGTCTTTCTAACATGCAGTCAAACGTGACAATCAACAAATCTAGCCAGTTCAGATATTTCATGTGTTGTAGCTCAAGCAAACCTGGTGCAACTAATGCAGCCCTTGCTTAGTTGCATCAGGTGTGCTTAAGACAACACCTGTTTTGCAGATTTGTGCTGTTGTGAGGGATTCTGTTCAGGGGGTTAAACAGTTTTAAGACTGCAGAAGTCATTAAACGTTTCAGTTAAATTTGGGGAAACCACTTGAAACATTTGTTGTGTTGAGCTATTTCAATTACTTTTGTTTGATTTGTTAATTGCAAAAATGCTGCCAATAAACCTGATTTGCAATGGGGTTGAATAATTTCGATTACAACTGTAGCTGCAAATCCTATGCTAGGAATCAGAGAAAAAAGTAAGTATCTTTCCCACTTGTTTAAACTTTTAGTCTTCTCAGAACGGAAATAATCGTTAGAAATAACCCGAGACCCATCTTTTTTAACAGTTGGGGGTCAAGATTATTAAAATTGCAGAAAAATGTCTCCACTGATGTAAATATTTTGGTATTTGCCTCAATCTAACCATCTTTCAGTCTCAAGAATTTAAAGGACTTACACATAGTGCTGACTTCTATTTGAACAAATTTAAACCAAAATGTGAAAAAAAATGCATTAAAGCCACTGTAAAACGATTAAGTCTTCAAATCAGAAGTACTTTACATAATAGCACATATCCTCCAGAGAATTTAGATTAGTGAGACATTTCCGAGTAAACGCCTTAAACTGGGAATATCCCGTCTTGAATGAGTCATGCTGATCCTTTGACTTAATGTGATTTGGATCCATTGCCTTTAATAGGAGACTCCTCTCTCTCCATCATAGGGAATCATGTCGGAACTGACTTGTAAATTTTGAGGAAATTCAAAGCAAATTTGATTGTACTTTATCTAGTCTAAATGTCAAATAAGGTTTCAAATAAGACTATTTACATTTTTAAAAGAATATAATGGTAATGGGCTTATTTTTTTAATAAGGCAAAGTTAATTACAAATTTATTACATTTAGAATTGAATAAACTTTAGACTTAATTTCAGGGCAAAATATGCATCTGAGGTACAGATACAGTTAAGAGGATAATTGATGCTTTACATCTTGTGAATAGATGAGAAAAACCTCCCAACTACAAGCCACTCTATGACCTAATATACAATGATATCCTTAGTGAGTGGGTCGACAACAACCTCGCAAAGCAGATGATGTTCTCAGGGTGGCATTGTGCTGGACCGAGATGCATTGGATGTGCTAATTCTGAGAGGGGAGAATACAATGAATCATCCAACACATTGCAAAAAATAATAGCACGCCTCGGGCCTTTATCGATGTCATGCATATGCAAGTCGAGAAATTAGCAGATCAATGTGGCCCTCTCTAAGTGACCAACTCCCACCTCTTCAACCTCCAGGCTGACAGAGAGTTCAACCTAAATGACTAACAAAGGCGGCAGGCTGTTCCTTCATTCTTCTGCTGCAATATGAGGTGGCGAGTCATTATCATTGTATTATATTATACATAGCCGTGAAATGTCAGTGCTTTGCTATTATATAAGATGTTTACAAATGATCTCAAGGAAAGTTGTGTCATTATAGAAGTTTAACCAAAGTCAGGTCTGACGTCTGAGAACATCTGCAATGCTCTGATCCTCTGATGATGTAATCAGGGGCATTTCCAGGGTCAGTAAATATTCAGGGCTTCACACATGCATATAGACTCATCCTTTGATTAAATACTACTATAGTACGTTTTAAGGGTGCGTTTTCACAAGAACAATTCTAAAAACGGAAAAGTTTTTTCTTTGCTTTTTTCGCGTACAGGCGACAACGTTGTCCAAACGATCCCTACAAATGGATTCACAAAATGACTATAAACGCTGTATATGCTGCCAGGCCAGTAGTTGACGATGTCACTTTGTAAAGAAACACTATGCGTCTATAGACTGAACACGTAATACGCATGTGCGTGACGTCAGCATTTTTGGAGTTTACACGACAATATTGAGACAACAACGGTATCGGTTTCAAAAATTTCCACTTTGAAACACGTTTTCAAAATGTTGCGTTTTCAGGCCTCCCAAAACGTCGTTGTTGTGTAAATGAATGTCCAAAATTCATAAAAAGTTTTAGCTGAAAACAGTGTCATGTAAACAGCCCCTAAAACTAATGTTAGAATAACTCCAAGACATTTTTAATGAAGTGTCTCAATTTTACCAGAGCTAACTAAAAAGATCAATTGACATCGCCAAAAATACAAAGTTTTGTGTCAATAATTAAACACTTTATATATTCTGGAAAAGTATTGAAAAAATATTGAAATTTAAAAATATATAATACTAGAATACTAGAAAATATAAAAAATATATAGTTGTTTACCAGACAATACACTGTAAAACTGTAAAAAATATATGATCATTTACATTATCTCTTATTTTGTGTGTGTGTTTGTGTGTCGAACGGATAGAGCCTACAGACTCCATTCAGTGAACTGGTCGAAGAGGGGCCGTTGTTCGGAGCGGAGGAGGGCGTTGAGGGTGATTCCCAAGCATTCCTGTCAGAGATCAGTGAGGAAGACGTGGAGATCCTGAGGCAAAGAGAAGAAGCACTGCTGCAGATCGAGGTACAGTAAGAACTCAGTAGCCACACCCACTGAAGACCTAATTGCATTAATACGCCCCTCCCAACCCTTCTCATTTTTTTCTTTAATATTGAGCATTTTATTTTATGTACACTACCATTTAAAAGTTTGGGTTAATTAGATTTCAATAAGAAGTCTCTTATTGAAATAAATATTTTATTATATTTTAAAATGTATTCTTGTGATGGAAAAGCTGAATTTGCCAATCTTTAGTGTCACATGATCCTGAAGAAATCCTTCTACTGCAATATGCTGATTTGGTTCTCAAGAAACATTTAATATTATCAATGTTGAAAACAGTATTTGTGAAAACTATTATTTATTTATTTTTAGATTATTTAATGAATAGAGTTCATGAGTTAACATTAGTTAATGTATTAACTAACATAAACATTTGTTACAGTATTTATTAATCTTTGTTAATGTTAGTTAATAAAAATACAGCTGTTCATTGTTTGTTCATGTTAGTTCTCAGTGCATTAACTAATGTTAACAAATACATCTTTTGATTTTAATAATGTATTAGTAAATTTCTAAATGAACATTAATTTAGTTTAATAAATGCTGTAGAATTATTGTTCATCCTTAATTAATGTTAATTAAAGTAGTTAACTAATGAAACCTTATTCTAAAATGTCACAGACTCACTTCAAATCTTTTTAGTCTTTATTGTCACTTTTGATCAATTTAATATGTCAATTTAAAGCATTAATTTCTGAAATGTATATGGGTCAATATGATTCTTTCTTTTTAATAGTTACGAAAGCAATTTCATATGGTTCCGTCTATGAAGTATTCTTAACAGGGTTGTACCAAAATTTTGAGGAAGGATCCGTGTATGTTTTTAGAACCCCTGAAAACTTATTTTTGTTATCCGTCTATACAGTGCAATCGTTACGTGTCCTGCATTGTCCTTTTATTCAAGACTTTAGACACACTGAAAAAACAAAACATGATCATTGGATAGAACAGTGCTGCATCAATTACATTTCCATACAAACAGATCCATCAGGCCTGTATTCTTTCTGTACTCGACATAATCTTTAGCAACTGTCCTTTTACTAAAGCTTTCAAGGCAATTTTCCATAATAGTTCGGTTTATTTTGCTGTCTAGTCGCGCACACAAGCAGAAGGCTTTTCATACACCATTGAAAAACACCATCACGTTGCTCTACTGAAGTATGTCTTGTCTGTAGCAAAACAGCTGTTTTCCTCCAGATGTGCATTCGCACAGATGTGAACCAGCAATGATGGGGTCATTCTGTTGTTCTTTGACATCCGTTTGGTCCAATTTCAAAGCCATTTGTTTTATACATACACCGTGCCCTGGTTGTCTTTGATGCGGGGTGTTCAAAGACAAAAAATGTAAATGAAATAAATGTCAGTCCGTCATGATTATTGACAAGGCTAGACGGAAAGCGAGTCACGCAGATGGCGCGTCAAAACAAATGTCTCTTTCTTGTTTGAATAGCAGGAGTTGAGAAACGAGAGAGGCCGCACGTCCTAATGACCAATGACAACCTTGAGAAAGCCTTGAAATGAAGACATATGTCTGTTCCCTCTTGAAGACCTGTCTGAAGCTCATAGACACTCGCTCGCTAACGCAACTACCACATCTGGCTAACAGACAAGCATCAAACCATCCCACATCCCGCAGCCCTCTTAATAAATTCCCATTCATCACACGGACAAGACCTGAAAGGCTCAAACAAAACCGGCAGGTTATTTTAGTCATAAATAAATTGGACGAGTTTTTTTTTCTTCTTCAGATGATCAGAAGGGTGATGAGGACGAGTCTGTGCTCCGAGAGCTTTGTCGCAGGTTCTTGAGATGTCTCTGGCCCCGAGCCCAGTCGAGCTGATCATATATGACAATGTGCTTTTCCAGTCTAGCATCTTTGCCGCCTCCCCCCCCCCCCCCCCCCCCCCATCCAAACCTCAAACCCCAAACCGCGCCGCCTCCTCACACAACTCTGCTCAAGTGAATCACCAGCATTTGCAGCCCTTTCTGAGCCCGACTCTCTCTCTCTTTTCATTCATCTCTCTCTCTCTCTCTCTCTCTCTCTCTCTCTCTCTCTCTCTCTCTCTCTCCGTTCACTGTTAGATGGGTTCCCAAGGGAAATGGAGAAGATGGAATGTCTGTTATCCGTGTAAAGTACAATCAGTCCCCCCCCCCTTATTTTCTCTCTCGCTCTCTCTTTCTCTCCAAAAGCTGATCTGTCCTCCTGAGTAGTTCACATTTACTCTGGTGGCTTGTGCGTTCAGGCGAACCCTTCTCCGGAGAACCGTGCTAAGGGACATGCATGCACACACAAGCCGGATAGAGGACGGGGGGTTATTCCGCATGCCGTTATGGATTCTCCGTCTTGATTTTCTATGAGGCGACCCACAAGGATAATGAACTGTTCCTCTGGGATGACTAAGTCGATTTGCATTCACCCTATATTACAGTGAAACGAGGAACACATTTTAAGGGAGGAGCCAGGCACCGCCCTCCACCACTTATGACATCAACCCCAGACGCAAGTCTCTGACACTTTGGCACCGGTCATCATTTCATCAAAATGAATTCGTTAAAAAAATGGAAAGCATAGGGCATGACAAAGGACAACTTTCAAGGGGAATCTGAATGCAACACCTGGCCAATCCAACAGAAAAAATACAGACACGTGTTTCCCCTGCAAATTTGTCCAGTGCATCCCTTTTGCCCTTCAATGAGAAATGGAAGTTTCCGACAGTAGTAGAGCTACAGTAAACCGCGCTAATGGCAGACAAGCACTGCTGTGTGGATCCTTCATGTCATTGCCTGTGAATCTCTTCCCTAGTAAAACTCTTAATTAAAGGTTAAAAATGTCTATTTAGAATATTGCATACATTTTACTGGATTAAGACAGAAAATAAAGAGAGAAAAAATACTCAGAAAAGACCTTTATAATTTCGTAGTTTGTCCCCAAAATTTCAAGGGGTTTTCAAGGGGACTTTAGAAGTCCCAATTAATAGTCCCAATTTATATTAAGTGGCTTTAAGTACTATGTACTTACATTGAAATTAATAATTTGATACAATGGACTTATTGTGTACATGTTTTTAAATTGTACTTATATTTAAAAAAATACCAGCATGTAATTACAGCTGTAATTAATTTATGTAATTACATTTGTAATTACACAGTTGACCCTTCCCTTACACCTTAACCCATCCTTAAACCTACCCATACCACCACACCTGACCCTAACCGTATCAGTATCACCTCTCAATAGCAGCAAAAGTGTTTTACAAGACAACATGAACACAAAAAGTACATTGTACTTATTTTTAGTTGTAAGTACATAGTACTTAAAGCCACTTAATATAAAGTGGGACCAGGTTTAGTGTTACCTAAGTTGTTTACAGTTCCCAACAGTATTATTTTATTATGTATATTTATATACTATTATAGTATTTATTAATTTATTTTAATTTTAATTAACTTATGCCATTTTGTCATTTTTGTATTAGTTTTTTCAGCTTTAATTATTATTTAGCTTTATTTTATTTTTAATTAAGTTTTAGTTTAATAATTTTAGTACTTCAACTTATTTTATTTCAGTTAGTTGTAATGGTTTTAATTTCAAGGTTTTTTTTAATTGAAGGTTTTCATCTAATATTTTTATTTTTAGTTTAGTTTATTTCAGCTGTATTGCAATGAATGCAAATTAGTTTTTAATATAGATTTATTTTAAGTTAATAACAACACTTAAATTAATGACAATTATAACACAGTTGCCAAACAATCTCTCATGTTGGCATCTTAGCTCATTCATTTGTACACTGTAAATTCTAACAAGTTCAGTTTACTTAAAAAAAGTTTGGAAACCGATTGCCTTATTTTTGCAATGCAAACTTAAAGGAAAAACTGAAGGTAAGTTAATAATCGGCTAAAAGTAAAGAAAGCTAACTCTTCCCAAGTAAATTAAGTAATACATATCAAGTCAGTTTAATGTCAATTCTACTTAACATACTCTAAAATATTTACTAATCTTACTTAAGATTTAATAGTAAGATTACTTGAGTAATTCTATTTAACTAACAGTGTTATAATGTGTTCTGCAAACTAGAGATGCGCGGTTGGCGGTTACAGCCGCGGACTCCGCGGATAAACCGCGGATCGGGTGGATGACGAGACGAAAAAAAATATTTTAATTAAATTCGGGCGGGTGGCGGGCGGTTGAACCAATCAAATGAAAGATATATGTATACATTGTTAAATATTGTTATCTGACTATACCTACAACCAAAAAAAAAAAAAAAATTTTGTAAAGGATTCCACCAAGTGGCCCAGACGTTGATTGACATTTGAGCTAAGTTCGGTGCTGTTGACGCTGGACGAGCCTGTTCTGAAGACTCCCGTTAATTTTGAATGCACGGGAAGAGAGCGGAGAGCGCGTCTTTTTCAGGCACAGTGCAATTAATTGTATACATCAACAGGCCAAACAAATTATAAAATAAATTATAGAGCCTCGATATTAAAGAAAGGCCGAAGTCAGCCATAGGCGTGTTCGTTGGTGCGCCATCAGCTATGCCTACAAAAGACAGATGAAATCTAATATTAATAATTGATCCATGTCGGTATACACAGCCTAATATTTTATAATGAAAAATAGCCTACACAATCAAGATAGACTATTTACTTTTTATTTATTAAATCCAGGAAATTGGTTAATGAAACATGGATTAAAATTAAGATACAATTAATACTAAACGAAATTCGCTTTAAAGAAAGGCTTTGTACTTTCTGTTTGATGTCTCTGTGAAAGTTTGAAAGTCTTTTAGTACCGCTTTCAGAGTGGTCGCGTCCGTAATGGAGAACTGTCACGTAACATTGTTGGCGCCCCATACAATAGCAGCATGTTGAAATTATGTGCCAAAATGCGTTTTCTATTAGGCTACAATTAAAATATTGTACAGTAGCCTATCAGATAAGGTCAGGTTTGCCGAAGTGCG